TTTGCTTTGAAAGCATTAAACACCATGGTCAGTCGAGATGGGCCTGACGCACTCGCTGAGGCTGGGTATTTCTTTGACTCTGCGCAAGCGGAGCCCTGTGGAACCGGTCCTGCCACCTTTTCTTTGCATTAGTTACGGAATCAGAGTTAAACCAAAAGGGATTGAAAGAGAAGTATGCAGAAAGGTAATCGAATGAGTTTAAAGAGAAGCATCCCTTTCGGGGCAAAGAAGGACTTATCTGGGGTGTGCATGCTGGCTTCAAATGATCATGACATGCTTCTTGGACTGGATGCCCGACCTTCACGAACTTTCCAACTTCTCGTGAACCCATTGACCCGCATTTCAAAACCAGGGGACCTTGCCAGGACTCCTTTAGTGGCAAAAATGTCTTCTTTTCGGCCGACAGCGCCCTTTGCGGGTTTTCGCCAATCGACCTCTCTTATTTCTCTTCTCACTGTCGCCCGATAGTGCTCTTTGCGACTTTTCACTAAGCGAACTCTCTCATTTTCAGTTTCTCTACTCACCATCGCCTTATGGTGCCCGAAGGTTTTCACCGTATAAGACTCTCTCATTTTATTCTCTCTATTTGAATTGTATCAGATTCCAACAATGACGTTTGCCGCTTCCATGCTNAATTCGACCTTCTCCTTTATTTCCTCTTTCTCACTGTCGCCGACTAGTGCTCTTTGCGAGTTTTCACTAAGCGAACTCTCTCATTTTTCAGTTTCTCTACTCACCATCGCCTTATGGCGCCCGAAGGTTTTCACCGATAGACTCTCTCATTTTTATTTCTCTCTATTTGAATTATATCAGATTCCAACAATGGCGTTTGCCGCTTCCATGCTTTTGTCAATTGATCAGAAGGACTTGGACAAGGTTTCGGGGTAAAAAGGATTTTGGGCAGAACTACAACTTTGGAACCATTTCGGCGGACTCATGGCCGAACCATTATATCATCTGCCCCAGTCTCATTTTTTTGGGGGGCCTTACCCTGTATTTCTGCAAGAGGCTGTTTCGGTAAACAAAGAGGGAAAATGTTCTGAGTGGCTAAATTTGATCAAGAACTTCCTCTTTCAAGTTATACCTTTTTCTTTCTCATTTCCTATTTGTATTTGTCACAAATTAATAAAGTTGAGTATGATAAAAAGTTTACCAATGGTCTGGGTATATATGTACAGAGGCGAAATCAATCGTCGAAAGCATGGAGTTGCGGATGAAATCTGATCCAAGATCAGCAGCCCAAAACTCTGGATTGCCAGTTGATTTTTTGGGACTTTTACGACCGTAGAATCCTTCTAGGCCTACTGTAAGCAGATGTTTCCTATCTATTGATTTCACAAATGTTGACATCTCTTCTATCCAATCCTGCAAAATTATATGATGCAATTAGTTTATATCCAGGTATGAATGCAAATCAAATAGGCGCCCTCATATTAATATGCCAAGTACTGAATTATCTCCAATACTGATATAAAGAAGAAATGTCCAGACATTTAAAATTCAATCTGTAATGTATAATAAATAGGTTTAGGAGGGAATGCCAAGTGTTAGAAAAAAATAAGATAATGCAAGCTCATAATACTACAACTTTCTAAAGATATATAGTGAATAGAGGCAAAACCAGGATTTTTACGCGACGGGGGCACAATATTCTGCTCAACCAGTGCCCCTTAAAGGCTTTTAGTGATCAGGGTGCCAAATGTTTTAAAAAAACCATTTTCAAGGTATATACATATACATATACAAGATTTCTGTCGAAGCTTATGGGGTCCCGTGACTCCTCACTATAACACATAGGTCCGCCTCTGATAGTGACCCCTCAAATTTCAGAGAACCGGAATAACAAAAATGAATAGCTATCCAAATTAAGGACTACTTTTCTGTCAAATACTATGATATTAACAATGAGCTGAGAGTCTAGAGCTTACTTGGAGTGTGTCACCAGAAGGATCGGTCATGCAGCGGGGCTCGTTTATTAACTCCCAAGCAAAGATAGTTGGATCGTCCCTGTACTCAATCCCAGTGTATAAGTTTCTCCTTGTTAGCACCGTCTGGAAGTATGAAAAAAGAACGATTACATGGGTCAGAAGTTTACAGTAAGAATGTAATGTTAGTATTAGTACCAAGATGTGGCATGTGACTGCAGAAAACAACAACAACAACAACAAACCCAGTATAATCCCATACGTGGGGTCTGGGGAGTTAGTGTGTACGCAGACCTTACCCCTACCTTGAAGGTATAAAGACTTTTTCCAATAGACCCCCGGATCAAGGAGCAAAAAGAGAGCTTAATCATGAGTCATCACATTGCCTAATGCCAAAACTATTCCGTCCCTCCTATAGCATGATACAAGGGGTAATTTAATAAAGCAATCGAGTCATTCCGTAGGCACACAAAACTAGAAGAAGATAAGAACTGAAAAGCGCCAATATAACTCAGTTCATTCATAATGTACCTTTCTGGAACAATAATGGCCATTCGGCCTAGGAATCCAGAAGTGAGAACAGATCAAACTCTTCCTTATCCCCATTCCTTCTCCACCTTATAAAAGGCAGCCCGATGCACTAAGCTAGTTTAATCTTGCTTTAAATTGTATATTCTGCGCTTTTCAGTCTTTTCAGATATAGATCTCCTGATTTCATAGTCAGCACAACTCCCAGAGTGCAGAAGCACTAATTTAGACAACTATCATGCGATTCATGGTCATTGATACTCTCAATTAATATACTTGTAAGTCGTCAATCATGCTAATCACTCTATTTTGAAGTAGCACCAATACTCTTTTCACTTCTTCTGCACTATTCGGCATCTTAAAATGAAAATATAATTGCACCTAGTATGATAGTAAAAATCACACTGGCACTCTAGCATTCCTCTCGAGCTGAGGGTCTTTCAGAAATAACGTCTCTACCTCCCTAGGGTAAGGGTAAGGTTTGCGTACATACTACCTTCCCCAGACCCCACTTGTGGGATTTCACTAGGTTTGATTGTTGTTGTTACTCTGGGGAATGAGCAGGAACTTCAGTAAACTGTTGTTTCACTTTAAAGTACGATCTATATCAGTCAATACTTAAAGATACTTCTCATCTTTATAAACTTCATTAAGAGGAAGGTGTTAAAACAACCAAAAAGAAAATCAGGCGAGGTAGTCAAGGTAAGTGATCTTATCTGAAATCTCAATGTGGAAGTTTTGTACAGCTCAATTGAGATCTCTGAATTCAGAACTCCTAAAATATGGGCTTTTTGAAGTGAAGTTAAGAGTTAAGACATAACTTCTCCAATGAATTAATGTTTCAAATAGAACACTTAGGTCTAAGTAATTAAGTAAAGAACATTTTCCGGTTATTTAGATAGTGCCTCGATAAGGTAAATTTTTCTGCACTTCAAAAACAGTCTTGCAGCAGAACGAGCAATTTGACCAAGAGAACTACCAAATTTTATAGGATCCAATGTGTATTCTCTTGCTCTCTGTCCGACAATTAGAACAATGGTAAATTTCAGAAACACAGACGTAGCGCAACATACAAGTTTATCCTGAAGAAACTATTTCCCTAGGAAAATTACCTTGACATAATGTTTGAAATAACGACGAATGGTAGGGTCATAGAAGAATGAATCATTGGAAGAACTTAAAGCAACACCTTCTTTCTCTGCCCATTTTACATACTGAGTCTTCCCACCAAATGCATTCAGATTGTTAACCAAGCTAAGCATTAGCCTAATACCGTTCTTTCTCGCTTCTGCAATAACATGATCCAATGCCTGCAACAACACATTTCTGCATCAAGTGGAAGAAAAAAAAAATACCGGAGGCAAAATAAACGAATTTGTACACCAGATAATAGCTAGTAACAGTACTTAATCAAGAAAGTAATAATAAATCCATGCGCCAGAGAAGAAAAACTCATGATCAAATTAGTAATTATGAAAACTCAGTAACTAGAATTTTGGGGGATTTAAAGAAAATAAACTTAAAAAAGACTGGAAAATCAGGAAAGCAGGAAGCAAATTAGACATACTTTACATGATGGTAATTTAAAAGACTAAAGCTATAAACACAAGATTAGATGACTACAAATTTATGTATTTAACAAAACTTCACAAGTCCTATAACTAAACATCTTTTATACAAAGAGTTTAAGTTCTGTGCACTGACAGTATATAGACCTTCAACACTATCAAGTTAAGTCGACCTATAACAATCGGTAAATCTTCATATCGGACTTGACTGAACATAGGATAATAACCTGCTATAAAAAAATAGGGCAGCTTGGTGCACAAAGCATCCCGCATTCACGCAAGGTTCGGGAAAGAGCCGATGTAGGCAGCCTACTCTAACGCAAGCATCGGTGGCTGATTCCATAGTTCGAATCCGTGACCTATAGGTCACACGGAGACAACTTGACCGTTGCTCCAAGGCTAAACTAATGCTATAGCCGATTATATCAAACTAATGGTGAAAAAATGAGGTATATAATTTAAATCCTTTTAAAAATAGGGTACAATTCAACCAATAATTGTAGAAAGATTGCTCAAAAGGGAAAACAACCAAAGTAAAAAACATATTATAATTATAGAAATAATACTAAAAACAAGTTTTGCTTACTCTAAAAACTCTTTCATCAAATCTACCAGGAGAAATCTGCAGGGCATTATATCCACCATCATTAAAAGCCCAAGTTCTACATACAGTGAGTCCCATCTTAGCACCAGCTTGTAAAATTCCTCTAATTCTTGATCTTTTACTATAATCCACAGCATGATCCATTAACCAATAAGAATTCCAACCATTTATGTAAAAAACTTTACCATCAACAAAGAATTGAGTCCCATTTCTCTCCACAAAACTTAGCTCTATTTCTTTGTTGTAACTGAACCACAATAAATCTCCAAATGAAAAATAAAGAAAAGTGACAAATAATGCTAAACCAATTACTGGATATAATAGGCCACCATTTCTTGTGAGTTTTCTGCTCATTGGTGATTTAACCATTGCATGAAATGGAAAATGCTGAAACCTATAAAACAAGATTGTAAATTTATGTTATAAATATAAGAAATTTGATTAATATAAAACACCAAGATGTATATGTGTGTGTGTGTGTTTTTAATACCTGGGATCTCCTTAGCTGTCCAATTTGTGATTTTTTCAAGAACAATGAGATCTCTTTTCTGAGAAAAAAGTAGTAGTATAAGCAATTACTTCAAGCAGAGACAAAGTCGTCAATTTGGGCAGTGAAGGCTGAGGACTGTGAGACTGCATCACGTGTGTGTGGGGGTTGGGGGGAGGAGGAGGCAGGGGTGGGGTGTGTGTGTGTGGGG